TGAAAAGATTCTCCGCCCGGCCCTCCTCCGGGGGAGGGAGTGGTGTGCTTACCATCTCCTGAAGAGCACGTCCCTCCACCTCTGGGTCGCCCGTCTCCGGGCCTCTTGCTCTCTCGCTTGCCACCAGGTTTGGCAGGGGCCTGGACGGGCGGGGCGGGGCGGGTGCTTTGCTGGAGGCCGCAGGAGCGCTGCTCTTGTTTTGGCGATGGCAGGGGGCCGCCCTCGGCGACGGCAGCAGCTGCACGCCGGGGCAGGATGTAGCTGATGACCTCAGTCTGCTTTGGTCAGCGGAGAACTGCTGGGCAAGTTCTCCACCGTGTCGCCGAAAGGCCGGCCTGGGACACTGGGGCGTTCAAGAATCGTGTCTTGTCCGTCTCGCGCATGTCAGCCAGTCACAGCCAAAAATGGCACTCCCGGACCACCATAGTGGACATCGCAGCCAGGTAATGACCGCATCCAGAACGCCCTGGTGATACGTTGTCTATAGCAAGACCCACATCGTCTTTACAAAGACGTAACGTCAAGTTTGCCACGCAACGTCGTCTTTAAAAAGACGCACCCGAAATTGCTCTTTTAGGGAAAAGCTATTTTAGCGTGCTGAGGCGCACAGGGGAGATGATCATCTGCGACACAAACAGGGGTAGTGCAGCCTGATGTGTGCAACCCACTTGCTGAAGCGCCGTCCGCCAACACGAAGAGCTCTCCAAGAGCGCGCTGAACTCGTTCAGTCTTCTTCTCTCAGTAGAGTAGTCAGGAGCAGAATGATGTGATCGCTCGGCTCCGAAGCGAAAAGCTGAATATGCGCTGCATCTGCTGCCTACTTATACTCACGCTGTGATCAGCAGCAGCTGGATGCAATAATCGCATGCCAATGTGCATTGGCTCGTTTAGTTTACACTCGAAGTAGATTGGTCCCTCTTCGAGAGATCCCAATTCGTCGGTCCTCCAACATGACGTCGAGAGTGACCGACTGAAAGGGAACAGAATATTACACTGTTCAATAGTTTTGTCTAATGTTAATGTCTAAACAGAAATTGACTTTTAAAAAGAAAACCACCTTGAGAAATATTCATTCTTTATAATGTTGATGTTTATTGATCATAGTAAACCACATTTGAGCATTTGAACACTGTTGAGTTTTATAAAATGTTAATATCACTTTATTTGTTGTAGTTTCAGAGAAATTTGAAACAGAACTACTAGAGGGAACGTCCTGCACCATTAAGCTGCCAACAAAAACTGACAGCTCTAATGATATCAAATGGATCCATCTCTCTAGTGGACACTTAATTCACAGGAAAAATGGGAAGATCAAGTCAAACACTCTAGCTGAAAATATGGAAGAAGATGGATCATTAACATTTAAAAGTGTTAGTCTGAAGAACAACGGCAAATATAAATACACTGTTTTTCATCAAGATGGTACAGAGATTGGTGCTGGAGAAAAGGAAATTAAAGTTTATGGTAAGATGACAAATATTTGTACCACAATGTGAATGATAACAAAATAAGACTGTACATTTCTATTGTAGTTTCAGTAGTAGGAAATAACCACCATGTTTCTGTCACAGCAAAGGCTCCTAAACCTACGGTGACGATCAACTGCAAAGATGGGAACGCTACTCTCACCTGTGAAACTGGAGACCATAAAGATCTAACTGTATCCTGGTATAAAGAAGGCAAAATCATCCTAAAAAAACCTAAATTGCTCTTGACATTTACTGAAGAACAGGAGAATAAACAGTACTCATGCAATGTAAGCAATCCTGTCAGCAGTAACCAAAGTGACAGCATTAGAGTATCATGTAAGTCATTATTTATTTCACATGCTTTGCAGTATATTTATTTACTTATTTTTTAAAATGCTCTTGTGTTTTATTTTGTCTTAAAGACAGCTACTAAATCATGATTTTTCTGGGATTTGAACAGACCTGACCTTAAATACTGACATTAAAAATTAAGATGTCCTGCTCTAGTAGAATTAATTGTCTAATTCAATGATTATATGACTTTCAATGATTTCGCTTTTGTTTAATGAAATACGCACTGGATTTTGGTCTGGACATTTCCTGTTTTTGCTGTTGACATACAATCATCAAATAATGACAAAAACAAACAAACAAACAAACAAAAACAACAATAGTATTTTCTGTTAACTGAAGATATCGCAAGTATTTTACAAGATAGAAAGTTTGGACACACTTATTCGCTGTGAAAAAAAATATTGCAATTAGCTATCACAACTTAAACTTTCGCATTAGAATAACTTCCCTGTATTGCACATATTGAGATAACTCAAATATACAACTTGTCACCTAATACAACAGCAGATTTCAAGTTGAATTCAATTCAAATTTACTTTAAGTCGAGACAAAATTTTTCTGTGTTTTTTGCCTTATTCCATATCAAAGCCATCAAAACTATGAAATAACACAAATGTTTGTCTGGAGTTATGTGGTAATTAAAAAAAGTTAAGATAGCAAAATAAATAGTCCTATTAACTTTTAAAAAGGAAGGAGAAAATGCTTCCTTGTTGTTCATGTCAAAGGTCGAGTGTCCATTTAAACTCGATGGTTTTTGAGTTTGCCAACATGCCTGACATTCCCTTATCTTTGCAAGCTAAAAAACTATGCAAAGTAAAAAAAAATACAACCCATATACATTAAACATAGTTTGTTGGTACAGTATTGAGTCGTGCTGTAGATTCCAGCCCTCAACCAACTCCACAAAGAGCATCTTGGGATGTTTTTTATGCATTTATTGAAAGAGGAAAATATATGCTGCACACTGGTTAATGCTTTTACGTCATTCAGCATTAGTCAATAAAATGAAATCTATACATGATTTACACAGTTACTAATAAAACTACAAAACTAATTCCAAGCTTTTAAACAGAAGCTTTTAAATCAAAAATGTAAGATAATTAGGAGCAAATTCAATCAAGCGTGTCCAAAGGTTTGACTTTTATTGTGCATTTTATGGACCGTCTCATGATATAACATTGTTATGCATGATGCCTTTTTTAAAATAATTTTTAACAGCTTAAAATAGATGTTTTTAATGATCCACTTGTTTGTTACTGATTTCATGACATCTTTTCCTGTCTTGCAGGTTCTACAAGTAAACGATCAGGTCTTGATAAACTCTTTGGCTTTGATTTCTGGATCATGGTGAGCATTTTAGCAGGTGGAGGAGCCCTTCTGCTGCTGCTAATATGTGTTCTTGCCATCTGTGCGTGTCGAAGCTGTAGCCAGCGAAAGAAGCACAAACAGGGTAACAGTTTGTTTTCATCGCCTCTGAAATGATCCAATGAGCATTTGTATTTTTAACAAAAGGGAAACCGATCGAACTGTCGCTGTTCTTGTTGAGCTTTAATCATCAGTGTATTTAAATGCCAAATCTTAAATACAGTCTATCTTGTGAGTTGTTGAATGAAATGGTTGTCTGTTTGCCAGTCATTCTGTTCTTTGTTCCCTTTGGGTTTTGCCTTATTGTTTGTTCTAGTTTTTCCATGAAATACCTGCACATAGATCCTTGCCTCAGCCTGTTTTCCGCAGCTTCTCCATAATGTTACAGTTTTGAAGCATTAAAAAGAACAATCAGCACTAAAGGTTTTCTAAGAATCCACACAATCAGCACTTTACAGGTTTTATAAGAATCACCTATAACCAGTGGTTATCCAGTATATCACCAAGGCTGATTATTATATTGATTGTCTACTGTATGTAGAATTTGCATTACTTGGTCTTTATTTGAGAAAATATAATTGCAGCATACAAACTTAAAAGATCACTAAGTGCTGGTTATACTTGGTTTCTTGTTTTTACCTTTTTTCTGTGAAAAACACCTACATAATCATTGGATTATCAAGGATTACACAATCAAGAAGTTGATATCTAAAGTACATCTGGTTATTTTGCAAGATTGTTTTTATAAAATTCAAATCATTTGTTCAGATAGATTTATTTTCTAATTATTTTTATTTTATATTTAATTTAGGATTGTTTAAAATTTCTAGATAAATATTATGCAAATTCATATACATTTAATTGCAGTATGTGTTACCTTAAATTTAATAATGTGATATCATATATATATATATATATATATCATGATATCAAAAAATTTAATTAAATTACACAAAACAGATTAACTAAAATTTTATGAACATCTTTGTCTTTGATATCTTCCAGATGAAGATGAGTTCAGGCTGAGGGTTTTTCAAGATGAAGCTCCTAATGGTACAGCCAGATCCAAACACACTGCTAGGGGGCAACCGGTGCCCCCCATCCCGCAAGAAGACCCATCTCCACAAACCCCAACACAAACCCAGACTCAACCCAAAGCCCAGATCCGCGCTCGACCTCCACCACCGCCTGAGGACGATGAGGAATATCCTCCTCCCTTACCTCGCCCTAGGAATAAACAGCACCGCAACAGAAATGAAGAGCCGTACCGACCAATGTAATGAAATGCTTGTATGTTCACTGAAAAACAGTAACATGGGGCCTTAATTGAATGGTTTTCATAAGCCATATGGTAGGAGTGTCATAAAGAAACAGCTTGCTTAAAATGAAAATTTGGTCATGTACTCACCCTCATGTTTTTCCAAACTTGTATTGTTTTCTTTATTTTTGTCAAACACCAAAGGAGATCTTAGGCAGAATGTCAAAGTCCATACAAGTTCCATAAACAATAGTCCTTACGACTTGTGCGCTAAGTCTTCAGAGGTTCATTTATGTAATGATTTACAACACAAAATATTGACTCAAAAATGCTACACTCTTAAAAATAAAGGTGCTTCAAAAGGTTCTTCAAGCGATGCCATAGAAGAACCATTTTTGGTTCCACAAAGAACCATTCAGTCAAAGGTTCTTTAAAGAACCATCTCTTTCTTACCTTTTTGTAATCTGAAGAACCTTATTTCGCCACAAAGAACCTTTTGTGAAGCAGAAATGTTATTCAGATGTTAAAGGTTCTTTATGGAACCATTTAGACAAAAAGGTTTTTCTATGGCATCGTGAAGCACCTTTATTTTTAAGAGTGTACACTGTAACTTTTTTTTTACTTATATAATGATCGAGTACATCTTCCAAACCGTGATTTGCCTTAGTCTAAATCAGGGGTGGGCAAACTTTTTGACTCGAGGGCCACATCAAGTTTTCCACATTAAGTGAGGGGCCGCATAATGTTTATGACAAATTAAGCTTTGATGTTTTTTTTATTCTAAATTGACACTCACTTACTACTGTACTGTATGTATGGCAGTTCTATTCTTGTACCATCTCTACCTATTTTTTATGAGCACTTTATGACACAGATAAGTTGCATTGGTGTACAAGTCGATTGATGTGTAAGACACATTTTATAATTTCATTCAGAAATAATGTAAAATAAACGAAACGTTTACAAACATTAGAAACATGTATATTCCCCACAGTCCACAAAAAAATCTTGTACATTTAGCAATGTTCAGAATAGAAAAAAAGAATGAAAATATAAGAAAAAAACAAACATAGATTATAGTGGCGTTCACTATAAACATATATTATAAACATCCAGCCTAAATATTTAAAGCGAAAGTGAAACTAGTGGCGTGGTTGCTGGAAAATGCACAATACAAACTCGAAACAAACTCACTTGCCTTTTCTCATTTGTCACCCATCCTAATGTGCGCGCTTTGCGCTTGACCTTGATTGCTTTATAGTCTGTTTCAGATTAAACCTTTTTTTTAGATGAAAAAAAATTACTATATCCATTTTCATAAAAATGTGTGTGGAAAACAGAAGAAGAAAGCATATCTTTGCAAGATAAAACGACAAATTATTTCCATGTTTTCCCCACGAAATGACAGTGCCCGTGAGCAGGAGGATAACTCTGGCATTTGTTCTGATACTGGAAAGTCTACAGAGCATTTTAAGCATTTTTAAAACAGTACCAATACAAGACATTTTTCAAAACAAATGAACACTTTCACATTTTTAAAACAAGTAACTTATTTACAATTGTGCCAGTTTTGTAGGGTATATATTTTGACTTTTTATTTTGTATTTGCTGTGCAGCTTGAATGCGACGTCCATCAAAAATAGACTAGGTGCCTATCTTTAGCGAAGCGACACAAGTATGAGATGATATTAGACTCAAAATGATTAATTGATGCACGCACAATTATCCATGTACTGCATACATTTTATACATGTATCTTACTAACCACAAACAAATGGCTTTCAATTTGAGTCTGTGGAATTCGGGAATAAATGGTTGTGCAGCGATTTGTACAAATACAGACATGTTTGTGAATAAAAATGTTCTGTTCTGCATTAATATATCATAAATTGCTCATGCAAAAAGGATTCTGTTGTTTGAGATGCGCCTCCCCTCGCCTGAAATGTAGGCTGCAGTGAGGGGAGGAGTGAAATAAGCGCAGTCAAGATGGACAGTTCTGACCTCTCGAGTGGAACAGATACCTACAAGATCAAAGGCAGATGTTCGCGTTATTCTCACTCACTTGCTGTGTCGCATAATGTTTATGACAAATTAAGCTTTGATGTTTTTTTTATTCTAAATTGACACTCACTTACTACTGTACTGTATGTATGGCAGTTCTATTCTTGTACCATCTCTACCTATTTTTTATGAGCACTTTATGACACAGATAAGTTGCATTGGTGTACAAGTCGATTGATGTGTAAGACACATTTTATAATTTCATTCAGAAATAATGTAAAATAAACGAAACGTTTACAAACATTAGAAACATGTATATTCCCCACAGTCCACAAAAAAATCTTGTACATTTAGCAATGTTCAGAATAGAAAAAAAGAATGAAAATATAAGAAAAAAACAAACATAGATTATAGTGGCGTTCACTATAAACATATATTATAAACATCCAGCCTAAATATTTAAAGCGAAAGTGAAACTAGTGGCGTGGTTGCTGGAAAATGCACAATACAAACTCGAAACAAACTCACTTGCCTTTTCTCACCATCCTAACATCCTAATGTGCGCGCTTTGCGCTTGACCTTGATTGCTTTATAGTCTGTTTCAGATTAAACCTTTTTTTAAAAAATTACAAAATTACTATATCCATTTTCATAAAAATGTGTGTGGAAAACAGAAGAAGAAAGCATATCTTTGCAAGATAAAACGACAAATTATTTCCATGTTTTCCCCACGAAATGACAGTGCCCGTGAGCAGGAGGATAACTCTGGCATTTGTTCTGATACTGGAAAGTCTACAGAGCATTTTAAGCATTTTTAAAACAGTACCAATACAAGACATTTTTCAAAACAAATGAACACTTTCACATTTTTAAAACAAGTAACTTATTTACAATTGTGCCAGTTTTGTAGGGTATATATTTTGACTTTTTATTTTGTATTTGCTGTGCAGCTTGAATGCGACGTCCATCAAAAATAGACTAGGTGCCTATCTTTAGCGAAGCGACACAAGTATGAGATGATATTAGACTCAAAATGATTAATTGATGCACGCACAATTATCCATGTACTGCATACATTTTATACATGTATCTTACTAACCACAAACAAATGGCTTTCAATTTGAGTCTGTGGAATTCGGGAATAAATGGTTGTGCAGGGATTTGTACAAATACAGACATGTTTGCGAATAAAAATGTTCTGTTCTGCATTAATATATCATAAATTGCTCATGCAAAAAGGATTCTGTTGTTTGAGATGCGCCTCCCCTCGCCTGAAATGTAGGCTGCAGTGAGGGGAGGAGTGAAATAAGCGCAGTCAAGATGGACAGTTCTGACCTCTCGAGTGGAACAGATACCTACAAGATCAAAGGCAGATGTTCGCGTTATTCTCACTCACTTGCTGGTTTCAGTTACTTTATTAAAGTAATGTAACTGATTTCACTTGATTACTTTTTGATTACTTTTCTAAATTTCTATTGTTTTCAAATTGTAATTATTTTGAAACATTTAAAGCAGACAGGGTTAACGTTACAGTGGTACTCAACACTGATTACTGTCAGACTTTCAGAATCCTTAATTAAGATTAGGCCTATAATTTAATTGTAAAGCACAACCACCTCAAAATCGGACTTTAGCAGGTCTTTTTACTTTGAGATCTTTTTGAGGTTAAATACAGATTTAAAGTCATAAGATATAGTTTAATAGCTATGATACTGTTTTTGAAATCAAATCTT